CCTTTGCAGCAACATGGATGCAGCTGGAGGTCATCATTCCAAGCAAATTGTCACAGAAATAAAAAACCCAAATACAGCATATTCTTACTCTTACGTGGACCCCAGACATTGAACACGTGAGCACAAAGGTGAGAACAATAAATGCTGGGCACTGCCAAAGGAGGAGGGGGCGATGACGGACACACAGTCACCCACCAGGGACCCTGTCCACGACCAGGGCCTGCTAAAAGCCCAAGCATCACCTGCACGCAATCTGCTTGTGTAGCAAGTCCTCACGTGCACCCCATGGATTCCGAAATAATATAAATAAATAGTTTATTTTTGAAAAGAAAACCTCCTGTAGATGGAGAACCAAGGCGAGCTGTTCTCCCCTCATGCCACTGCCTGGCCCTCTGCGGCTGGAAGGGGAGGCTTCTCAACAAACATGTTCGGGTGGTGGCACTATTTCAGGGCACACTGGGAGGAACAGCACGGCCACTCCAGGGCTTGCTGGGCCCACAGGGCTGACAGGTGTCACACTCACTGCTCAGCCCAGGGCTCTGGCAATTGGGAAGTCTGGGGGTGTTCTCCCCCCCGTGGTCAGATCCCTTCCTTCCTCTTGGTCCGCTGGTCAGAAGAGAGCACCAGCTCCTGAGATGGAGGAAAGGCAAGGCCCCCCTCACCCCAGCACATGTACCCAGCATCTCTGGCCAGATAAGTTCTTGTAAGCATGTTATTAGGAAAACTTCATTCAACTGTCTGTAAGTATGGGGATAACTTTAGGTAAAAAGCACTTATTGCTGCATTCATACCCCTCTGAAACAAGGAGAATCTGTGATACTGACTAGCTTTAGAAAGAGGATACAGAGCTGGGCGTGGTGGTGGTGCCTGGAACCTCAGCACTTTGGGAGGCCTAGGCAGGAGGATTGTTTGATCCCGGGAGTTCGACACCAGCCTGGCAACACAGTGAGACCCTGTGTGTACAAAAAAATGGAAAAAAGTAGCCAGGCATGGAGGTGCGTGCTTGTAGTCCCAGCTACTCAGGCGCCTGAGGCAGGAAGACCGCTTGAGCCCAGAAGTTTGAGGCTGCAGTGAGCTGTGATTTTGTAACTTCACTCCAGTCTGGGTGACAGAATGAGACCCTGTTGCTAAAAAATAATAACTTAAAAAGCGAAGACAGAATTGGCATGCTTAGAATCAGTTGTGCCAGGACTGGCCTTGGCTTGTCCTTGTACGAGCCCTGAGCCCACAGGGTCTGGGACACCTGCCCCCCCCACCCCACCCCCGCTGCTTCACATCCTCCCAGATCTAAGCCCCACCAACCTCTGCTGCCACCGTGCCACGAGCCCTGCTGGTATTCTCTCCAGATGAGCTTGTTTGCCTTGAGTCTGCACGCAGGATGCATTCGGGGTGCGACCTTCGAGTTGCGACTAGGTTGTCCCACGGCATCGCCTTGGTGTCTCTGGAGTCCTGGGCATCCGCCCTCCAGCTGTGCTCACCAGGGATGGCGGCAGGGCCGTGGCTGGGCTTTGGGGACAAGCCTGGAGTGTATCCTGCACTGAGATTTGTGTTTGGGGCACTGGGGGCGGGGGGAGTCGGCAGGCCGTGGGCCGTGGGAAGTGGGTGTGGGCGGTGGGTGGCGGGTTTGGGGAGTGGGTAGGAGGCAATAGACAGTTGGTGATGGGCAGTGGGTGACGAGCAGTGGGCAGTGGGCAAGGGGTGGCTAGTGGGTAAGGGTTGAGGGAAGCGGGCAGTGGGTAGTGGACATGGGAAGTAGGCAGTCGGAAGTGGGTAGTGGGCAGTGGGAGGTGGCTACTGCACTGTGGCAGTGTGCCATGGGCACTCTCTGCTGTCAGCAGCTCCCACCAGATCCCAGGTGCTGCGAGAATTCCCCAAGGAATTCTCCGTGAGCCCTGTTGAGCTGGCCTCCTCTATACTTTTATTATTGACTTTTTAAACTGAAGTGCATCATTTTATTCTAAAGTGTTTGGGTTCCCTTTCAAACCTGTTGAGATTTTTTTGTTCTTGGTTCTTAGTATTGGTGCTTCTTGTAGCTTCTGGTTTTCTAACATGCACGTTTGACCTCTTCTATGTCCACCTAAGTTGTGATGTTAGTGAACCTGCTGGCCTGTCATCTAGCTTTTCTGCAGTTGACATCAGCCTGTCCACATGCAATCTGCATCTGGTCATTCTACCTGCTGGAGGATCAGCCACATTTTCCCCATTCAATCCCCAAGCCCATCTCCACCAGCCTTCCTCAGACCCTCTGCTGAGATCCAGGTGCACTTATTTCAAGGGAATCCCAGAGCCACCAGCCTAGCCCCTCCAGGGAGGGAGTAAGTATCCTGAAGAACTTCACTTCTCCCGAGAGCTCAGACTGGCTAAAATTGCACCACAGCTTCCAGAATTCACTTTTGCCCACTTGAAAATTTCCATCTTATTTCATCATTTTCTTCTCCAGAATGCCTAAAACATGGTAATTCGCAGTTCCCTAACAGCAGTGACTGGGGACTGTGGACCTGGAGGTGGAACTCACTTCTAGCCCCCCTTACCATGTCTTTGGCCATCTTGGGCACTGACTCGTCTACTTGGTTCAGTTGAGAATTATGCTCTTAGGGTATTAACTACAGTATTACAGTACTAACCACTGTAAGAAGCTTGATCATGGCACAAATCTAACTTTATGACACCAGACAGTAAACACGTTTCCCCTGTTCTTGCTCTGTAGTTTATTAAAGATCAGAAGACTCACTGTATTTCTTTGATCCTAAGGCTTTTAAGCTTATCATGGACTAGACTTTGTGACACTACTTACAATTTGGCAACACATTTTTATATTCACTCCTGTCTGCCATCTGTTCTTCCTGCCGTGAAAAGCTAGAAAGTAGGAATGCTCCATGAGAAGGAAGAGGGCATGGGGCTGTTAGGACTGGCTTTCGGTGCAGCTCACAGAAAAGCTCAAGCTAGCGTGAACACCCAAGTGGGAAGGACTGTCGACTCAAGGCTGCCTTACAGGACAATCTAGGGCAGGATGCAGCTGGCCCCGGATGGAGTGGGACAGGGAAAGCCCTAGGAGCCCAGTAGCTCCTGGCTCTCACCCCGCATTCTCTTACTGCATAAACCTCAACAGAGCTCTGAGCCAGAGCCCCCACAGAAAGGCTCAGTCTCAATTCTAAAACCCACCGGGAGGGAGGGCGGACAGACCCTCTGGACGGGTCAGGAGCAGACTTCCTGCTGGCTCGCGGAGTGTAGGAGGGAGACTCCCTGAGTGAGACACTCTTGTGACCCACCGCTGGGGTGAGGTGGCAGGTGGGCAGTGGCTGTGGGCTGTTACACCCCAGAAGATGTGTTCCACAGGAGCTTTGCTAGCTGTATAAATGTAGTACACTAACTGCCAGTTTCCTTCTTTTTCCCAAAACAGACTCATGCTCAGTTTGCAAGTCACTCCTCCAAAGGAACATTTCTGAGCAGGGAGTAACCTGCTAGTGACCTTGAAATTGCTGCTTAACCTCCCTACAGAAGGTGGAAGTGATAGTACCACCTGCCTTGTAGGTGTTCTGAGACACTCAGAGCTCATGTCTCCACTGCACCGAGCACTGTGCTTGGCACCGAGCAGCCAAGACTCAACAACTGGGAGCCGTGACTGAATGCTCAACACGCTCGAGTGATGTCAGAGACTGCTAGAGACTGTTTCCTCCAAGGCTATTGAGCAGACACTGGAGTCACTGTCCAGAGGGAGTTCCAGAGAGAAACTGCACACAAGATGCCCAGCTCTACAGAACTCCAACAGCCAGCATCAGCACTGCCTGCAGATAGCAGGAAATTTGAAAGCAAGCAGTTAACCTTAGTTATAAAAATTAACCTTAGTTATAAAAATAGTTTATTTATAGTGCCCAGAGTACACAATATATTTACCATTATGTACAAATTCTGCTCCTCAACTAGAAGGCATTGTAGTGTAAACTGGTGAGATTCTGTGAAAGCCCTCCTGTATTCTTGACCCCAAGCCTCACTTGCTTCCTCCCATATCTGGACTGGGTCTTACAATCCACATGGATTATAGCATTTGTTTTCCCCTCAAAAACTGTTATGAAACAAGTACATCTAAAAAGTACTTTCAGCTTAGACTCAAAATGTGTCACATGAGACACGCAGAGAGTGTTTATCTGTTCTTAATCTACTGGCAATACTTAATTCCTACAGACAACCTGCCCAGTCTTACTCCAGTGATCTTGAAATAGAAACCTGGTCTTGTTACTGAGCGAGATCCTCTTCTATTCTTGTGTCAGGAAGTCGTAGGTAGAGACCAGGCATTTTTCATATGTGTTGGAGCAGTATGTTGTGAATTGATATAAGCCTTTCAGGTTTCACAGTCTAAGAAGCTAAACAGTGGTAAGTGAAAAGTAAAAGAGTCAATCAATTATTGTCCTTCTACCAACCACATAACTATTTTTAAAAATTTTGTCAGGTACTCAGCTAAGTAATATTCTTGATGTCATAACAAGTCCCAATTTGTCTTTATTTTCATTATTATTTTTTAGAGAAAGGATCTTGCTCTGTTGCCCAGGCTAGAGTGCAGTCGCACATCACAGCTCACCTCAGCCTTTACTTCCTAGGCTCAGGAGATCCTCTCACCTCAGCCTCCTGAGTAGCTGGGACTACAGGTGCGTGCCACCATGCCTGACTAATGTTTTACTTTTTGTAAAGATGAGGTCTCACTATGTTGCCCAGGCTGGTCTCGAATTCCCGGGGTCAAGCAATCCTCCCATCTCGGCCTTCCAAAGTGCTGGGATAACAGGTGTAAGCCACTGTACCCAGTCTGTCTTTTTAATAAGCAACTTCCTTTTTGATGTGTTTGAAAAATTGGATCACGTAATATTAAGAAGCCTTCAGTATTAAATGCACAAAAGAATAAATGGTGTAAAGAATAGTGTGTTCACATCCAAGCTGGCTTCAAGGCTAATCCTGTTCATTTCTGCACTGGGACAGTTTAACTATAACATGCTAAAAGAAAGCAACAGTACAATATGCAAATTTTTATCGGAAAGATACTTTTCCACACTTATCAAAATATCACATATTAAAAGCCAATGCACTGTTAGATAATTCTGGAAGTGTCATGACAATTTTAGAGTTAACCATTATGACCATTTTAGAGGTACAAGTAGGATTTCAGAGAGAAGATGCAGGGTGCTCACGCAGCAGCTGCCGGAGCTGAGAGGGCAACGGGTGTTGAAAGGCCTCTGGGCCAACCCGATGTCCCCACACAGAGACCACACGGTGCCGTGGGTGTCCAGCGGCCTCCGGGCCATTCTGATGTCCTCTCGCAGAATTCACATGGCGCAGTGGGTGTCCAGAAGGCTCTGGGCCATCCCAATGCCCTCAACATCCCGCACTCAGAGGACACAGTGGGTGTACAGGAGCCTCTGCGCCATCGCAGAGTTCCCGCTGCTCTGGTAGATGAGGGACAAGTTGTAGGCACTATCTCGTCGCAAGTCTAACTGGTCAGTCTCCACGCCCTAGGAGGAAGCAGACAGGTTGCGGTCTTTACATTTCAAATCGCCAACCAAGACAGTCTTATGGCAAGCTGAGCTTCCTAAGTTCTCAAAGTTATTAAAGCCCCTAGTACTAGAAAAATCCCATAAAACTGTGTATATGCCCTGTATCGATGCCGATGCAGTTACGAGTGTCATCCAGTATCTTAAAATGTCTAATCAACGATTTACAGTCTCACCAACAACCCATAGCAGCATGAACTCCAGATGAATTAAGGATCTAAGAGTAAACAACTAAAGCCGCGAGACAGAAAGAGTTGAATAACATCATCTTGGGAGGAAAGGCCCTTCTAGGTATGTTGCAAAAGTGGAAGCACAAAGGGAAAGACTGACGTGACTTCCCAGAAACAGGGTCTCACTCTGCGCCTAGGTTGTGTAGAAAGATAACACAGGAATAAATGAACAAATGACCAGATGGGAAATGCCCACATGACCCCACAAAAGGCCCAGAAGGAGCAGGTCTGGAGGGCAGGTGCAAGGTGTCTGAGATCATGATCTCAGGGGTGACTTTGCTTCCTACTTAACACAAAGCAATGAACTCAGTGCACAGATCTATGTTCCTAAAGCTTCCCCAATACAAAGCTTTTGGGTTAACTGAAAAACATCTGCAACAATAAAAAAATGACACCTATGAAGCTCAAATAGCAGCATGTGAAGACATTTATGAAATAAGAACATGAGATACATTTTGTCAGGGTAACTATAAAAATACCTGTTCATTTGCTTACAGACTAAAGTGGACCAAGAGTTACAGAAAATAAGTTTGAAGAAATACTGGGATTATGAGTGAAATTTAAAAATTTTTACATATTGCTGTGTTAAAATATATTTAAAGATTAAAATGAAAATACTCATACTTTTCTTTAGGAATTAAAATAAGAACTAGGCCAGGCATAGTGGCTCATACCTGCAATCCCAGCACTTGGGAAGGCCAAGGTGGGAGGATTGCTTGAGCCCAGGAGTTCAAGACCAGCCTGAGCAACATAGTGAGACCTTGTCTCTAAAAAAAATTTTTTTAATTAGTCAGGTGTGGTGGTGCGTGCCTGTAGTTTTAGCTACTTGGGAGGCTGAGGCAGAAGGATGGCCTGAGCCCAGGAGGTTGAGGCAGTGGTAAGTTGCGACTGCGCCACTGCACTCCAGCCTGGGCAATGGAGTAAGACTCCAATGAAAAAGAATAAAAATAAATAAATAAATAAATAAAAAGAACCAGACTTTAAACACAGGTCATCACAGCACTTATAATGCTCTCTTAAAACAAAGAATGCCATCAACACTGATCCTTCATCTTTATAAAGAAACACATTAGTTGCACCCAAACTTGGGAATGAACAGTGATGACCTCATTCAGCCCTGGGCTCTATGCCGCCAGCTCCTATCTGAAGCCCGAGCACCAACTCAGGATGACTGAACCACCCTAACCATAGGCTGTACTATCTGCGTGGGGCCAACCACGTCACAAAGCTAGGATGCCAAAGGTCTACCTGTTACTGAACAGTCATGTAAATGTATCAAATAAGGGAAAATACATGCTGAGTGCAATTCACTGCACTCAGCCAATGACACGCAGACAGGATGAGGCGAGTCAGGCAGTACCTCCACCTCCAGAGGTGGGAGCTCCAGAGCCCTCTGGTAGTAGTGGATGGCGAGATGCGTCAGTCCCAGCTGGTGGAGGCCACGGCCCAGGTTGTAGAAGGACTCCTGGCAGGGCCCACGCAGACCAAGGTAGCGGTTAAGAAAGGAAAAGCCCTGGTGAAAAAGAAAAGAAAAACAAGTCAACACTTCACTCATCTGTCATGTGTGCACTTGACCACTGTGTATCACCAGTGCTAGGAACACAAATATTAAAAACAAAAAACAGTCCTCCTCTCAAGAACACGTCTGTTCAGCATGGTGGTATATCACAGTGTCAATCTCTCAGCTCTTCTGAAGGTGTGAGCTAGGGGCAAAAATACTTCCAGAAAACAGAGTCACATTCACACCAGCTCCCTAAGATCCATGACCTACAAGACTTTCTTTTGTGGTTTCAAGTTGGCCTTTGTGGCATCAGAGGCCAGTAAGCTTTTGACTTGAGAGACATGGCTTGGGCAGGATATGAACCCAGAGCCCTGGGAGGGTAGTTTTAGAAAGCCTGCTCCCAGGAGCAGGCGCACTCAGGCACAGTGGCCCCTTCAGGGTACACAGCACCTATCTACGTTACCTCAGGATCTTAAGAACATCTTAACCTAAAACTGGGGTGTTTTTTGCCCTGAAAGCTTCTGACTCAAGGGCTGGTGAAGAAGCCGACCCTGGAGCACAGCCATCATGACACTGGCTCACTGTCATCGCGTCCGCAGAGCAGCTGCTTCCTGGCTCTTCCCACATGCAGACCATGGAAGGTGACAGACTGTACAGGTGTGAATGTCCTACTTAAGTAGTTAAATATACTGCCAGAAAAGTAAAGCAACTGATTTATGAACACAGAATATTATGTATAATGATTCCCTGGGTGGCCTGCTAGGTAACAAATGGTCACAAATTTAAATAATAAACAATTTAAATAAAATTTTTTAGATAAATAAAATTAATAAAATCTTTCAAATGAGAGGATTTTAAGGCTAAGAGTAATCATGTTTAATATATACAAATCATACTTTCTGCACAATAAAAGAACTCATTTATGTGACTATGATCTCCAGCCACTGAAACACACAGCTTTCTGTTAATAGTCTCTAGCAGACTATTAAACTATAATCTCAGAGAAATATCAAGTTTTCATATTTTTTTTTTTTTTTGAGTTGGAGTCTCACTCTGTCACCCAGACTGGAGTGCAGTGGTCGCTCCTGGCCACCGCAGCCTCGACCTGCTTGGGCTCCGGCGATCCTTCCACCTCAGCCTTCCGAGTAGCTGGAACTACAGGCGCATGCTACCACACCTGGCTGATTTTTTTATTTATTGTAGAGATGAGGTCTCGCCAAGTTGCCCAGGCGGGTCTCGAACCCGCAGGCTCAGGCAATCCACTCACCTCAGCCTCCCAAAGGTGCGGGATTACAGGCTGAGCCACCGAGCCCAGCTAAGTTTTCATATTTAAAAATGACAAATAAGACAAATTTATAGATAAAAACAAGGAAAAAGAAACAGTAGTCCCAGATGAACTGTTGTAACAAGTGAATGTGTAGGTTTTCTAATCCAATAATGGGAGTTACCTGCTACCTTCCAGAAATCTTTAACAAACTTGAGAGGATAATCTCCTTGACAACTCAAAGACTATTCAGAAAATATTTAGTCATTTTAAAACTAGACACTATAAGCACTTTATTTTATCTGAATCATCAAATATAAAACTGAAGGATGGGTGTGGTGGCTCAAGCCTGTTATTCCAGCTGGCACTTTGGGAGGCAGAGCCAGGATAACTGCTTGAACCCAGGAGCAGGAGACCAGCCTGAGCAACACAGTGAGACTCTGTTTCTACAAAAATTAGAAAAATCAGCGGGCTGTGGTAACACATGCCTGTAGTCCCAGCTACTCATGAGGCTGAGGTAGGAGGAATGTCTAAGCCAGGAGGTCAAGGTCAAGGCTACAATCATGAGCCACAATCGTGCCACTACCCTCCAGCCTGGGCGGACAGAGTGAGACCCTGTCTCTAAAAATAACTTATATATATATTCCCAAGAGATCAGAAATATTGTCTGTCTTGTTCAATGTCTTCAACATTTTTGTTTTTATGATTTCACTTTTTGTATGTTTGTTGCTTCTGAAATATGACATGGTATAGACATGTTTTTAAATAGATTGGGAAGGAAAGAAAATATTGGCTTCAATGGAGTAGCAGGATATAGTAAAGGGTTTTTGTTTTCTTAAAGTAAAATGGTGAAAAGAAAGTCTCTATTAAAATGATGACAACTACTAAAACTAGGCATGGAGTTCATTAGAAATGCTCTTTACTTATTTGACAAATTCCATAGTAAAAAGTTAAAAAAAAAACAACTCTGAGAAACAAATAAGTCTCCCTACATTTTTACTTTTCTTGTACTGAATCACAGTATTCTGTCTCTTCCCCTAAGGGTCTTCCTGCATGGGCACTTTTTCTGTTAATATGCTGGTGTGCATGTTAATTAAATGTGTGCTGAGCTCAATGCATGCCTGGGCTTGGGGTGGTAGCAAGGGGGTCACAGGCAGAATTTCTTGCCCTCATAAAAGTTTGGTTAGAACGGTTAAGAAATGTTTATGGATTAACTTATTAAATAGGTAGAATGTCTGGGTTTTTTTGGTCTGGTAGGGCAAAAAATGTACTTCAAGGTAATTTGGAAGCTAAATTTCACATTATTTTCCTAGTTCAGTAGCAGGTTTCAGATGGCTGGAGACAGACGAAATGAGAGGTAGTGCACAGAGCTGAGGGTTACTCGTTGTGTTCCTGTAGATGGTAAACAGTTTCCCTAGAAAAGTCTTGAAAGAGCAGGTGTTGTGGTAAATAGCATACTTTCTGAAACTGCTTTAATTTCTCATCTTTCTTTCCTCATACTACGGGACTATAGTAAATATACTACTAAAAAAACCCCTAATTTTTCATGGTTTTCTATCTTCCACACCCTTACACCATATTGTAAGAATAAATTCGTTCGCGTTTCTTTCCTTCTAACTTTATCTGATGTTATGTAGACATTAAGCAGTGAGTATGCTGGGTCCTTTAGTGATTAACTCGATTAAAATGTCTGAAATAGCCGGGCTCGGTGGCTCAGCCTGTAATCCCGCGCCTTTGGGAGGTTGAGGTGAGTGGATTGCCTGAGCCCGCGGGTTCGAGGATCCGCCTGGGCAGCGAGAACTCATCTCTACAGTAAATCAAAAAAATCAGCCGGGCGTGATAGCGCATGCCTGTAATTCCGGCTACTCAGAACGCTGAGGCGGAAGGATCGCCGGAGCCCAGCAGGTCGAGGCTGCGGTGGCCGGGAGCGGCCGCTGCACTCCGGTCTGGGCGACAGAGTGAGACTCCAACTCAAAAAAAAAAAGAAATGTTTTTGTTATTTCTTTGCAGTTTTTGTTTTTTTTTTTAGTCAGCATCTTATTCAGCTGCCCAGGTTGGAGCACAGTGGCATGATTACAGCTCACCACAGCCTTGACCTCCTGGGCTCAAATGATCTTCCCATATCAGCCTCCCAAGTAGCTGGGACTATAGCTGTGTACCACCACACCTGGCTAATTGTTTAAAATGTTTTTGTAGAGACGAAGTCTTGCTATGTTGCCCAGGCTGGTGCTGAACTTCTGCGTTCAAGCTATCCTCCCACCTTGGCCTCCCAAAGGCTAGAATGACAGGTGTGAGCCACCACGCCCGACCTAACTTTACATGTTTATTAGAGGAGACAATCTGTAAAAACAGGTAACAAGAAAACAAAAACATACTTTCAAATTGTTATAAGATCCAGGAAGAAAATGTTAAAAGAACAATTTGTTGGCAATGGTGTAAGAACAGCTGCCCTCAACCCATGTGTGGGTATTCTTATATTTTCAAAGATGATTTTCAGTGACATGGATCTTCAGGGCCCAGGATGGCTGGACAGCTTGGGGCTCTGGACTAAGGTGCCTGCAGGGGTCCTCCAGCCCTGCTGTGTCCTCTCCTAGTGTTTCTCCTACACCACTGTCGTAGTCCTGGTCCAGCGTACAACCGTGTGCTGAGTCTTGTGGGTGCTGTACAGGATGCACGAGGAATCCTGGTGAGCACTAAGCACACGTGCTACTTCTGAAGGCTTTGAAAGCATCAAGCCCATTCACTTGAAGAACACAAAATCAAGCGATGAGCAGCTGCATGAGGTACCTGCACGATGAGTGCGTGTCTCTTGAGCACATACTTCTGAGATGCCATGTGGATGAAGGTGAGGCCGATGCAGAGGCTGTAGAGGGGCTCCTGGGAGTGGGTGCGGAAGGCCTGCACGTACTGTCCTGGAAGAGAACAGGCACGTGAGGGTGAGAACAGAGCTCAACACGGATTCACACGGGTGAATCTGTCTTACATGCCAACCAAAGGCCCATGTATCTACATTCCACAGCAGTGTAAACACATCAGTCAAACCCATCCATGAACAAACTCTGACCACCAAGATGAATGGGTGTAACTGAGCAGCTTTTCTCTAGGCACAGCAAGACATTTCTACACTGTGATCATGAATCTACATCATGACCATAACTCTGGCCTGACAGGAAAGGAAGCGCATGTCTTTTGGTGAATACATCTGTAAATCTGCTTTATGAACTCAAATATGGTATGTAGGGGAATGGGGAAAGGAAGGTTTTATTCCAGTCTTTAGATTACAGGTGTTGTGTTCCAAATGCAGCAACCATGTTGTTTGTCCTGAGAAGCTAAATGTATTCAATAACAAAATAAGAATTTGGGGCTGTGAGAATGCCCTGTATTCCATATATACAACCACCTCAAGTGAGAGCCTCAAGTGAGGTAGGGGAACTTAAGCAGGTTTTTCTCAAGAAGCAGTAATATTTAATGTATCATATAGAGGCAAAAACTTCTACTTCTTCCAGCTTCTACTCTGCCATCCACAGAGAAACATGAAAGTAATGAACAGCCAAAGCCAGAGTTTACTTATTAGAAGTCAACATGGCAACACGAGCTTTCAGGCAGCTAAGATTCACACCTAATCTAACGCTCAAACACCTGGTTGGGTAATTTTCTACGTGTTTGCTTCTGATTCCTTATTACAGAAAGTCCTATTATAAATGGTTAACGAGTTTTCCCTGAGCTTCATTAGAACTAGTTAAGCACCATATAAATAAATCTTTTTTTTTTTTGAGTCGTAGTCTCACCGTCACTCAGGCTGGAGTGCAGTGGCAACCTCACAGCCACCGCACCTTCGATCTGCTAGGCTCAGGCAATCCTTCCGCCACCGCCTTCCAAGTAGCTGGGACTATAGGCGCATGCCACCACATCCAGCTAATTTTTTGATTTATTGTAGAGATGAGGTCTCGCCAAGTTGCCCAGGGGGGTCTCGAGCCCTTGGGCTCAGGCAATCCCCTCGTCTTGGTTTTCCAAAGTGCTGGGATTACAGGCTTGAATCACTGCGCCCGGCCAGTAATTCTTAACATAAAGATTTATTTCTCCTAAAGGAAGGCGTTATCAGCACATCTTCAATACTTCTGCATTACGGCAAATTAAAATCAGGGTCAACCCATCACAACTAATGAAAATCACTTTAAGAATAAACAAGCCTAAGCAGGGAGAATTGTTGACATCTCAAATGAATTACAAGACCTGACTTCAGCAGCCTTTCACAACCAAAGCTCAATAGGAACAATAAACACTGATCGGATTAATATTATCCAACAGGTACATACACTTCAGGTGCCAGGTGCTGTGTTAAGTATATCAACTCACTTAGCTTTCATAGTAACCTACAAGGCAGTCCAGTTATTACTCCACTTAGGGACGAAGACACGGAGGCAGTGGCAGTGGAGTAACAGACAGGCTCACCTTGGCAGTCTCCTCACCACAATTCCAGCCAGGACACTCACCAAGTGCATGCTTGAAGCTGCCAGACACAAATGCATTGTGTCCATTCAGGACACACAGGGCATGGTTTTCAGGGTTTTTCAGCATCAGGCGGAGACAGAAGCGGTGGTGGCGCACATCCTGGGAGTGCATGGTGACCTGGTTGAAAATGTTCCAGAGCTGGGGCTTGTTGACATTTTCCATGACCATGATCCTGAAATTGGGGTGGTGAGGGGGTAGGCAGTAGAATTACTTCTGGCCCCTAAAAATGAGGTCTCACTGCGGTCCCGCTAGCACTGAATGCACTATCCCCGCAAGGAAAAACAGGCCACTTTCATCTGTTTACATCTTACACAGTGAAAGACTTTCCCCAGAAGATGCTGCTTAAGGGAGTGTGTCCATATCTTGTTTCTGCTTTCAACAGAACTTTAAACCCAAACACAAACAAGAGGTTTAAGCATCACTCTCCCTCTACCCACCACCCTCCCTAAGGTCCTACAGCTAGTAAGCACCAGGACTAAGATTTAAACCCAGCAGCCTGGCCCTGGCAGCCACACTCTCATCTGCCACCAGAGAATGGCCAGCAGCCTGAATGAGCCATGTGCTGCAGGAGAGCTAAAACAGAGTTGCCTCTAAGTCAACAGAAAGGTGTGCCCCATGGAAGGCTCTAGGAGCAAGTCACCAGAGGTCACCTGATGTAGTTGTAGGCCTTCCTGAAATTCTTGTCCAGAATGGCCGCAGACAGACCAAAGTACTCCAGTTCTTTCCGCTTCTGCCGGTCATCGTAGAACGAGTAATATTCCAATGAAGAGTCTACGAGTAGCTCAGCCTCCTGGAACCGGGACAGGTCGCAAAGGGAGTAGATGGCCTTTAACAGAAGGTTCCACCAGTCATCCTTCGTCAGGACACTCGTGAGCACAGCGAAAATCGCTACAAGGCCAATGAGACAAGTTAAGATGCTGTGTTTTCAGAATCACAGTCTTAGGAAGAGAAGTACACATCACATTCTTGACAGCAATTTCCTGATCCTTCACCCAGATACCAGCCTGCTCCCCCGGCAGTTATAAGAAGGGGTGGTCCTGGCTCACAACACCCCAGCACCCCCTTTCTTTGCTGCCCGGCCAACTCCAATCCCAGGTCACACTGATGCCGACGTGTTCTCCGCAAAGAAAACTCCAGCCAGGACCCAGCTCCTCCAGACAGAGAGCAAGTGCGGGTCCTGCGACCACAGTCACAGGGGGCTCCACACATGGGACACTCAAATGTCCACCAACAATGCCCAAATCCATGCCATGAGACTCAGGGGATTGCTGCTCTCTTTCTGAACTCAGTTTTCTTTCCACTACTTTATACTTCTTTTAACAACCTCCTCCTCTTCTTTATTTCTCTATAAGAAGTCTCCCTTTAACTACCCTTGATAAATACCAAAAACCTTTGATTCAATAATTTTTCCTCTAGGAATCGATCCTAAATAATCAGAATATGGACAATCTATATGAATGAAGATGCTCACTACATTATTACTTATAAAAGAAAATTATCAGGAGCAGCCATATACCAAAAGTTAACTAAGGAAATTATTATATTATGGAACCGCTATCCATTCCTTACATATAACAGTGAAGAAGAGAACAGAGCACCACGGGAAGATGTCAAGTGAAAGTATCAGAGAATTCGGCATGTAACATAAAGAGGCTTATCACACTATCCAGGTAGCAAGTGTAATAAAGTTAACAAGACAAACCAACACAACCCATGAGCCAAAGAAAAATCAACAATGCACTTGAAAGAAAGCAGGCAGGATCAGGTACAAAGAGAAAACACAACTTAAGGAAACGTGGCTCAAAATATATGCTGCAGAGAGAGAGGCTGCTGAGGAAACCCAGAATAGCCGAATGGAGAGCTGGCAGAGCTTACAGCATGCCGCCAGGTCAGGGGTAGATGAGGCCCCACCCTCCTCAGACTCCAACACTGCCTATGATAATTACTTGATAAAAATCTGCTGAATTAATTAACAGTGAAGCCATCTTCTGCCGGATTGACATCTCCAATTTATAGCCTAGGTAAACCAAACATATCTGATGCGTTTTCAACAAAAAATAGATGTCTTTTAAAATCATATGACTTGAGACTAGGTAACAGCAACCTATTTTCAAAGAACTTCTATGTCTATTGCTACATTTGTCAATGAATTTAATAGAGAATGGAATATATGTAATTGAAGTCTTTGGACAAATAATCTACACTGCCATCTAATCTTTACAAATTTCCTTTTTTCTTTTTTTGAGTTAGAGTCTCACTGTGTTGCCCAGGCTAAAGTGCAGTGGCATGCTCACCGCAGCCTTGACCTGCTGGGCTCGGGCGATCATTTTGCTTCAGCCTTCCAAGTAGCTGGAACTACAGGCATATGCCACCAAGCCCAGCTAATTTTTTGATTTATTGTAGAGAGATGGTCTTACCAAATTGCCCAGGCTGGTCTCGAACCAGTGGGCTCAGGCAATCTTCTCTCTTCTTGGTCCCAAAGTGCTGGGAGTATAGGTGTGAGCTGGTGTGACTGGACTCACAAATTTTTTAAAATGCATTTTCTTCTTAAAAAGTCAGAATTAAAAGTTTTGTTTCACTTTTTCCATAGAAAGATCCTAGCAGATGCTTTTAATTTTTTTAACGTACTTACATTTAGCTTTTGCTTTCTAAACATCAAATGAGTTTACTGTATATGAGAGATTTAGATTAGAAAATTTCTTTTTATTTGAAAATAATATATTTTCAATTAGATTACTATCAGATGTTACCTCATGAGTCTTTCAATTCAGTCAAGTTTTATGTAATTTAACAAGGCAAATGAAGTAATTACCTTTTGCATCACAATTTGCTGTCTCTTGGTCACTGCTGTCTGATATTTTGTCTCTTGACACTTTAATAAGATAGAGATGCCTCTCTCCAGATTTGGAACTGGATATCAAGCAGACTTGGGCTCTATTCATTGCTACCTGGATTAAAGATGAAAATTTGAGATTTTTTAAAATAATTTTTTTTGTTGTTTAGAGATAGGGTCTTGCTTTGTTACCTAGGCTGGTGTGCAGTGCTGAGATCATAGCTCACTGAAGCCTCAACCTCCTGGGTTCAAGCAATTCTTCCACCTCAGCCTTCTAAGTAGCTGGGACTACAGGCACACTGCTTATCTCTAAACAATTTTTTTAAAAAGAAAACCTATGGGCCACAAGTACCACAAGTGTGACTGAAAGCTCCTTTAGTAAGAAAAAAAGACACCAAATTACTACATTAGAAAACACCTAAAAGTAGAATGAATTGACTTACTTTTTTCTTAGCAAAGGAAATTTGGGTCACACTACTCACATTAAAAAGGAGAAAGGCAATTCATATTAACATTTAAACATGTACACACACACACACACACACACACAGCCACATCCCCGCAAAAAAGCCAGACCCAGGGTGTCAGATCTGAAAAACAGTTTTGCAAAGTGAATGATTTTTGGCACAAAGTACAGTCTACAGGGCAAACAATCAACGATACTATGGTTCTCATTCTTCTAAATATGTACTAGGAAAGATTTTATTTCACTTAAATCTATTGTCAAGAATTTTCAATTATATACCACAAATCTCTAAGTTTTTGTCTTTATCTGACTTTATTAAATTCAAACTTTCAAAAGAGAAACTCAGATTAAATTCAAACTTTCAAAAGAGAGTAAAATATTTACACAGTTGTATAATCTATGTTTATTTATTTATTTTTTATTTTTAAAGATAGGGTCTCCCTCTGTCCCTCAGGCTGGAGTGCAATGACAAGATTATAGCTCACTGCAACCTCCAATTCCTTCATTGCAGCCTCAAACTCCTGGGTTCAAGCGATCCTCCTATTTCAGCTCCTTGAGTATCAGGAATTACAGGCATGCACCACCCCATCCACCTGTTTTTTTTTTTCTTTCATTTTTTTGTAGAGATGAAGTCTTCCTATGTTGCCCAGACTATTCTCAAACTCCTGGTCTTAGTCAATCCTCCTGCTTCAGCCTCCCAAAGTGCTAGGATTACAGACATGAGTCACCATGCCCAGCCCTATGTTTAAATCAAATACTAAACACCTAAAACCCAGAAAAGGATAATATAAAGAAAGCTCACCACCCACCTTCAACAGCTTGGAAAATAGGTAAGGAAGTTCACCACTCACCTTCAACAGCATGGCCAGCATGGTGAGCAAGGTATCCACGTAGCCACACATCTTGCCTTGTGAAAACAGCAGTGTGGAGCGATGAAGCAGCAACTTCAGCTCCTGAGTGAATAAGCACATGACAGTGGATGGAAAAGGAGTCTTTTTCTATAAGTTGTTTTATTTGCACAGAAAAGTTCTATTTTAAAAAGTAAATTTTAGCCAGGCATGGTGGCACACGTCTGTAGTTCCAGCTACTTGGAAGACTGAGGTGGAAGGATCACCTGAGCCCAAAGGTTCGAGGCTGCAGTGGCCGTGAGCATGCCACTACACTCCAGCCTGGGTGACAGAGTGAGACTTCGACTCAAAAAAAAAAGCAAACTTTAAGAACATTTGCTTTAATAATCTTTTACAATAACTAATACCCAAATATTTTTAGAAACCATAATTTATAATAACTAGTAAGTAAGTGGCTGAAACTTAAGACTCAAATCATTTTCAACACTGAATTTGATCACTAAAATAAAGTTTCGTAAGCTGCAGAGACATCTCTAACTAAGGAGAATGTTCTGAAATGTAATCCACCGAGAAGAGCTGCCTCCTGCATCCTACAGCCCACCTGCTGTGCTGCATTTGCATCCTGCGCCAGTGTGTCTGGGTCATACATTGGCTCCAGAGCTTCCAGCGCCTTCTCAGGATGGCCTAGCTGCTGCTGCAGGGTGGACAGGGAGATTCTTGCATCCAGATGGAGGGGAGCCAGGTCGACCACCTTGCCGTAGCTTTCGGCTGCCCGCTCCATGTAGCCCAAGGCCTTCAGGCATTCTGGTCATATAGAAAGACAGCACAAACGTGAGCGGCAGACATGTAAACTGCCAAAGCAAGATTTCCATTTTAAATAAATATTACATCAATATAAAATAAGTATAAAAAGAAACAAATGCCTATTTCTAATATGTTAATACAACTATCCCTTCTCATCTCTATCTGTTGATTGATCCATCTATCAATCTCTCTAAATTCAAGCTGCTACAAGGATGTGACTGGTTTATGTATCCAATTATAGGCTCTGCTTGACTTACATTGTAAACACTATCCCACGTCTTCACTGTCATTTTGAATGGTTACATAATAACCAGTGTGATTATTTACTTAATTATATCACTTGCCATTTAGGTTGTTTCCAAGTTTTATTATAATAAATAATACCGCTGTGAACATCTCCATCTACAGACACCAGAGTTCACAACTGACCGACTGATATATCCCACAGATGTGTTCTATTGAGGCACAGTGCTTTTAAAAACTATTGATTTCCAGGATTTTTAAAAATTAGAATTTTCATAAAATCCAGGGTACTGTACTCTTCTGGAAACCCTGAATTTGGCAGTAGTGGGTGCTCACACCCACCTGGCACATCATTCACAGCAGTGGGTTTCCACACTCACCTGCATGTCAGACGGCAGCAGTGGGTGCCCATACCCACACATCAGCCAGTATGAGCAACAGCCCCCTGGATGCACTCTCAGTTCTCCTCTTGTCATCAGGCCTGGCTACCTGCCAGGCTCTTGAGCTGTGACCTCGATATCAAACACTCCCCTCCCTGCATGCAGCTCATTTCTCAGACAGTCCTCAGAGGTGAGGCTTCTGGACCCCACTACTTCACGTCCATCAGACACAAAGTTCCATCCTCTGGACATGAACCCAGGCCTGTAGCATTTCTTCTCTCCATCCTAAAAGCCAAGATCCTTTGCATCTTGCCTTTTTCACTGCAATTGTTACCTTCCAAATAATATTTCTGCCTCCAACTGCTTTCCCAAATCCCTCCTAACCACCATCTTTAGGTTAAAACTTGATAATAAAGGAAGAGTACTAATATGCATGGATTATCACAATAATACCTCCTACATTTTTCTTATTTTTCACTTGTATTTATTTGTTTGCTTGTTTGAGTCAGAGTCTCACTCTGTTGCCCAGGCTGGAGTGCAGTTGTACGCTAATGGCCACCAGAACCTCGACCTACTGGGCTCAAATGATCCTTCTACTTCAGCCTTCTAAGTAGCTGAAGCTAGGGAGTGTGCCACCACACCCAGCTAATTTTCTAATTTATAGTAGAGGTCTCGCCATGTTGCCCAGGCTGGTCTCAAACCTGTAGTCTCAGGCATTTCTCTCGCCTCTACCTCCCAAAGTGCTGGTATTACAGGCATAAGCCACTGCACCTGGCTCATTTTTCACTTTTAAAGATATTGTTATTTTATGTTATTATGCTTCAAGCATTAAATTCCTCTAATTATCTTTCTTATCTCCTGAAGTTTTTGCCTTCCGTTCTTCTCAAGTCACATGGGCCCAACAAGGAAGCAGCATTTATCAAAATCACCAATTAGAATTTTTAAACTATCTACTATTAGTAACACAGGAGCAGTTTCAATATCACAGCCTTAAAAGGTAATAAAACCTCAAATATTCTTCTCGTCTTAAAAATTTCAAGTCCCACAAGTAATGCAACTTTTTAATGATGGCATTCCATTTATACTCCTATTCACAGATCAAAATAAAAAAGTGCTATCCTGATCATAAGTGCTCTCTCAAGTTACTGCCCAAGACGTCAGTCACTGCTTCTCTAGTTAGAACTTTCTGTCATCACTTAACACTTCAAGAGCCATTAGGATTTTCTGCCGGCATGCAATAGTTGAAACAAAGACTACCCAACTTTTTTTTTTTTTTTTTTTTTTTGAGTTGGAGTCTCACTCTGTCGCCCAGACTGGGAGTGCAGTGGCCGCTCTCGGTCACCACAGCCTCGACCTGCTGGGTTCAGGCAATCCTTCCACCTCAGCCTTCTAAGTAGCTGGAACTACAGACGCGCGCTACCACGCCTGCTAATTTTTTATTTATTGTAGAGATGAAGTCTTTCCAAGTTACCCAGGCGGGTCTCGAACCCGCGGGCTTAGGCAATCCACTCACCTCAGCCTCCTCAAGTGAGGGATTACAGGCTAAGCCACCGAGCCCAGCTGATTACCCAACTTTTAATGCACCTTTTATGTTGACTTAATAGAAAGTCCTATTAGAATTTTTTTTTTGCTTTAATACATTTCTTCAAAAGATTAAGAAATAGATTAAGCTATTTCTTGCACTCCAAATGATTTATTTCAGGTCACTGTGGGTTTAGGCACAGTACAATAAAACAATTGATTTAAAAAAGTCTCGCTGGGCTCGGTGACTCAGCTTGTAATCCCAGCGCTTTGGAAGGCTGAGGTGGGTGGACTGCCTGAGCCTGCGGGTTCAAGACCTGCTTGGGCAGCTTGGCGAGACCTCATCTCTACAATAAATCAAAAATTAGCTGGGTGTGGTAGCGCATGCCTGTAGTTCCAGCTACTTGGAAGGCTGAGGCGGAAGGATCGCCGGAGTCCAGCAGGTCGAGGCAGCAGTGGCCAGGAGCGGCCACTGCACTCTAGTCTGGGTGACAGAGTGAGACTCCAACTCAAAAAATAAAATAAAATAAAATAAATAAAAAATAAAAAAAACTCTTGATTATACATGTGGCTCAAAGAGCATCAAAAAATACATTACTCAGTGGATCAGTCTGTAATCCCAGCACTTTGGGAGGCCAAGGCGAGTGGATTGCCTGAGCCCGTGGATTCGAGACTAGCCCAGGTAACTTGATGAGACCTCGCCTCTACAATTAAAAAAAGAAAACAATAAAATATTAGCCGGGAGTGGTAGTGCGCACCTGTAGTTCTGGCTACTTGGAAGGCTGAGGTGGAAAGATTGCTGAAGCCCAGCAGGTCGATGCTGGGGTGGCCATGAGTGTGCCACTCCAGCCTAGGAGACAGAGTGAGACTCTAACTCAAAAAAAAAAAAAAAAATATTATATATATATATATAATATTTTTCTCAATAACACAATAAATATAAATCTATAAAAACACTTCAAAAATTAGATTTTACCCCAAGTCTGACATCCTTTTCTAGAATCTGGAGCCCACAATGGAAATGGGTGAAGGCCAGCATGGAAGGGACATGCCCGGCCCCTGCTCCACTCTGGCATCAAGGGAACTGTGCTCCAAAGCATCACTGAGTGGGGATCACTTACAGCCTGCCAAGTGACAACTTAAAATACTTTCAAAAACCCACCCGGAAACCAAAAATATGAACACATATAATAATTATTACCATCACAGAAAGTAAGTTCCTGTCTGCTCAGGTGATTTAAACTTTCCCTCCCACAGGAAGCATTACCTGCATGCCGAAGCCAGACCACTGCGAGATTGTACCGTTCTGAGCACACAAGCGCGCTGAGGAGGGGCAGTGCGGAGCTGTACTCCCCCACATCCAGAAAGGCCTCAGCAACGTCAAGGTACAGGTCACCCATGTCTTCAGGGTTCTGCTCCACTAGTGTGGTCAGGAGAGGCTAGGGCCAAGGAAAAGCCTGAGTCAAACATTCACAGCAAACATGCATATCTACCTATCAGTCATAGGCAGCAAGTGAAAAGCAGCAAAGCGCAACACAAACAGCCTTGAACGGCTGCTCACCTACTCACTCCAGTATCTCACACTTCCCCTCATTCCTCCATGCAGGACAGCTTGTGGGCCAGCTCAAAGGCAGGCACTGCAGGAGCCAACATAACATCGACCTGTTGGCTCTTCCTCCAATGAGGCAAACATTCCATAACCAGGGCTTCTGTCTGCTGATGTTCTGGAAAGCTGCTACCTTGATATCTCACAGCTTACTCCCTCACTTGCTCAAGTTATAATTCTCACACTGCTTTTTCAGGGAGGTCTTTCTTGCCTCCCTGATAGAAAGTGGCAACTTTCCCCCAACCCTGCTCAATATTTCCTATTTTTCTTCCTTGTTTGATTTTCCTCTAGAACACTTATCACCAATCAATATTCTGTATATTTTATTATATTTTATTTATTATCTATCTAATCCCATTAAAACAAAAGACCCATGAGGGCAGGGCGATGTGTATTTTACTCAATACCTCACCCAAGTTCTACAAATCAAATGCCGAATGCATTTTTTGTATAATAAAATACTTGGTCCATCTGGGCACAGTGGCTCACGCTTGTAATCCTAGCACTTGCGAGTAGCTAGGACTACAGGTGTGTGCCACCACGCCTAGCTAATTTTTTTTATTTTTACTGTAGAGACAAGGTCTTGTTATATTGCCCAAGCTTGTCTTGAACTCCTGGGCTCAGACCATCCTCTCACCTCCCAAAGCGCTAGGACATCTAAAGAAAACAGGCTATGGATCTGATCTGAAGCCTCCCAAGCGGGGTCTTGGTTCAACTTACATTGAGTGGTTCAAGAATGTTCAGATGCACAAGGCAGACCATCAGCTTCACTGTGATGTCTATGGGCACACCGTCAGGAATAGAGCAGGTGACACTTTCAGGAGCTGTGGGACAGACAGGCACTTCCTAAATTCAAGTGTGGGATGTGTGTCTTCTATGTACAAAATCATGTACTGCATTCAAAGCAAATGACTCCACAGTCAATTCTAATTCTGGTCAACTCTTTTAAGTAAGTTCTTATACCTCCCTCTGTCTGTCCTTTAGTAGCGAGTCTCCTTCCTACTATTTTCCTAATACCCAAATGCCCACTTTCTACCTGAACGACAGGGAACTAAAAAGACAAAAATGACAGGATGTGTGGATGTTCTTTTTCTTTCTTTAATTGAAAAGGTTCTTTTTAGTCTTTACTACAAAAAGGCTAAGAAAAGGATAAAATAATATTGTGCTGTTTTCTAAAACTTCATTACAGCAAAACAATTTAAAACCCTGTGAAATTACTGAAAGGAATGTTTATCCTTAAACCTGGCTCAGGGATATGCCCAGAGCATATCTCTTCTGCAGACAGTATCTATAGACACCAATCTGAATAAGGACCAAACACATGTAGTCATCTTAACGAGACTTTTGACTTTACTAAGGTGGGATTCTATCTATATTACATATGGGTTTTATATTCCAAACTCTTGCATTTGCTTTCTTTCTAGAAATACTGTTTATTATGGTCTGAATGTCTGTGTCACACCAAAATTGTTATGTTGAAATCTAACCCCCGGTGATGGTACTAAGAGATGTGGTCTTTGGGAAGCAATCAGGTGGATGGGATTTCAGCCCTTATACAAGAGTCTGAAGGAGCCTGTTTACCCCTCTGCCACGTGGGGACATAGCAAGAGGGCTTCCTCCTTAAGGAAAGGGCACTCACCAGACATCAAACCTGGTGGCCCCTTGATCTTGGACCTCCCAGCTTTCAGAATGAACAACAGTACATTTGTTATTTCTAAATTAACCAGTCTAAGAAATTTTGTTGTAAAAGTCCAAATGTACTAATACATCTATGTGTTTTAACTTTTAGCAAGAAAAGTAAGCTATTGTAAATACTTAAAATCTCAGCATGTTCATTAGACATAGTGTACAGATGTATAAATAACTTCACTTTCAGATCAAATCGCAAAGCAAAACTCTATGACGAATGCAAGATGTATGCCTAAATCAGGTGATTCGGGAAAGTTGAAAATAAAAGAACAAAGGCACAGCAGACAGATGCGAACAAGAAAGCAGGGATCACAATGTTGCTGTCGGACAAGGTAGCATTCAGGCTACATGCATTTAAAAAGGCAAGGTCACTTCATAATGCTACTCACAGGTCACGTCAACAGTTCAGTCTGATAAACACAGAGATTAAGAGAGCTTAGACACCTGAGTGAACTTGGCAACACTAAGGAAGGTGCATATAAATGTGTGTTTAGTCCCTATAGTTTATACATTTTTAACTAATATTAAACTACACTATCTTTTAAAAAGCTTGTCTTTGTGTCACTGATACTTTACTCTCCTGAACTCCCATCAGGTCTTTCACATTTCACTAAAAAACGTGAACCTGAATAGACAATGTTCAATCTACCAATAAATGTAATCCTTTTTAAAAATGCATTTTTAAGGCCGGGCTTGGTGGCTCAACCTGTAATCCCAGCATTTTGGAAGGCCAAGGCAAGTGGGTTGTCTGAGCCAGAGGGTTTGAGATCAGCCTGGGCAACTTGGCAAGACCACATCTCTACAATAAATCAAAAATTAGCCAGCCGTGGTAGCACGCCTCTGTAGGTCAGGCTACTTGGAATGCTGAGACAGAAGGATGGTCAGAGCCCAGCAGGTTGATGCTGGGGTGGCCATGAGCATGCCACTGCACTCCAGCCTGAATGAGTGAGACTCCAACGCAAAAGAAAAAGTATATTTAAAAAGCTACCTTAGCTAACTTTGGATTGCTTTTAATCTTCTAATCTCCTAGTCTTCTGGATATATTTTCCTTAAAGTTATTCCATCAACTCTAAGGTGCCACAGATTTCAGATGCATCATTATTTTACATACTAAAACAGAAAAACGCCACTGCTTAAATGCTAGCCTGTCACTGAAACATGTTAAGATGTTAGCTGATTTCAGATATACAGGAAGGGGGGAGGGAGGGAGGACGAAGGGAGGAGAGGAAACAGAATCAATGAAAGAAACACAATAAAATATATTAAATGATAAGATGATTGATTATATCTATAATTAACACTTGAACAGAACTCTGTATTTTTTAATACTTTTCAAAACAAAGGACAACTGTCACTTTCAACACAAATATAATTATTTAGAGAAAAATCTTAAACAGGAATTATGACTGTAAAATACTAACTTAATTGGGCCTTGGTTCTCCAAGACTCAAGAAAAGTACCAAAACCAGCAGAGGCCTTCAATACCCTAATCCATGCTTTCACACCACTTCACAATTCCCACTCTTTATTCCACGTATTCACACCACCCTGGCAACTCAAATGCCCCAACCAAAGCCTCAGATCTGATCCTGCTCTCACCAAGCAACACTCCCACAGCTGCAGCTCCATTCCTGTGACATGCTCCCACACCTGCGACACTACCCCTGTGACATGCTCCCACACCTGAGACTCCATCCCTTTGATATGCTCCCATAGGTGTCTGCTGAAACCGGACCTCTATTCACATCCTCTCACTCTTCAGGTATGGCCTCCTCCATATTCCCATAACGTCAGCTTTACTACAGAAATCATCCCGTCATTCCTCCTATGATACTTGGAGCCTCTTCCCCTGTACTTCCTCGGAGCAGGAGTGTCACACTCATCTGCACACCCTTCCAGCAGTCCCTCCTAAGAAACTTCCTGAATGGGGTTCCCTCCCAGCAACTTTACACAGTTCTCCATTCCACATCCCACCTTGGACAGTGCTCTCTAGGAATCAGCACAAATCAGTTTATGTCACCATTAGGGTGGATCACATTTTAAATAAGAGTTTTTGTTTTTGGAGAATTATACCTTAGCCCAAAGGATGACATAATGATGGGGTTTTTAGGTGTCATGATAGGCCAGGGAAGGAGCATTCTGAAGCAGACGTCCTTGACACCAATTTACTTGCCCCTTCCTCAGGCTCCATCAGATACTCACAGGCAGGGGCAGAAGGTACTACCAGGAGTTATCTTATAAGAACAGAGCTTTGTCCATGAAGAAGATCAGTTCTGTGACAATCTCAGCTGGAGTCCTGCATGTTAGTATTTCAACAGGATAAAAGAACCAAGACAAGGAAAGAGCTGAAAGTGATTCTGCAAGGCACACCTCTGGTGGCTCTCTAACCAGACCTCCAATTATATATTTTGAGTCTCCAAACAATGTAGAGTCATCATATTAGTTTCTATTTTATTTATGAACGCTTAAGTTAGAAGTAGAATTTTTAAAATGAGAACATTTAAGTCCCATTTGAAAGGTCAACTGCTTTAGATCTAAAGGTTTCTGTTAAGCTGTTCAGTAATTATTTTTTCCTGTAAGAATAATGAAAAGAAACTTGTATAAGTGAAAAATGCCACATTCAAATGGACATGCTGAGAAATAAACAGGACTCAAGACAAATGACTTAAAAGATTACTTATAAGTCAATAATCACAAGATAAGAAATCTCTCTGAGGAAAAAAATGCTTCTTGAGAAAACTTGTTACGAGAACATTAACTATCAACTCACCATATTATGAAATAAATTTCCCCATAAAATATCATTATGAGCAAGAGAGCATTAGATACACTTTTCTATGCAAACTACAACCTTTATTCTCTTCTGAAGTGCTGTCTTCTGAAGTCTTTTTTTCCAGCACAATTCCAGAAAAATCTGTAATTACCTAAAGAATGGGAAAAAAAGTAAAGAAATACAATAGCTATGTATGAAAAACCTTTTCATAACACAAGACTTTGTACAGTTAACTCAATCCCAACAATATGAAAATGGATTATAAAGAGGAACGGTGTCTTTTTAATGTAAGAAATCACCAAGCATAGTGGCTCACTCCTGTAATCCCAGCACTTTGGAGGCTGAGGTGAGAGGACTGCTTGAGCAAGACAAGCATGGCCAACACAGCAAGACTTTGTCTCTACAAAATAATTTTTTAAATTAGCCAGGTGTGGTGGTATACGCCTGTAGTCCCAGTTACACAACGGCTGAGGCAGGAGGATCACTTGAGCCCAAGAAGTTGAGGCTGTGGTGAGCCATGATGGTGCCAATGCACTGTAGCCTGGATGACAGTGAGACTCTGACTCAAAAAAATAATAAATAATATTAGAAATCCTGTGACACATTTACATTTCTGTATCATGTTAACTAAGGCTAACTAAACATACACAATTCCTCTGCAGTGAACCAACCTACTTTCCCTGGCAGCTTAAGGACTAAGTCAGCCACTTGCTTGACTGTTGAGTCCTGCTAACCTGTGTGCTGATATATTTGGCACCTGCGATAATGGTGACATCTTTTATATTGTCATATGTAGCTACATTTATATTTCAGACAGAATTGTACAGAATCTAGAAGTCACCTGTTTTCTATATAGACTTTAAATATACACATCATTTAATATGCAACTAAAATGAGGAACTGCCAATTTGTGAAAATGTCTAGAATGCGGAAGCACATTCAGAACCTAACAGAGATACTCAAGCATCCTCACCTCCAATGCCTTGTCGTACTGCTTGTTGGAAATATAGAGCTCAGCTGCGATGTTGACGTCCTCCATGGAGACCAGGCCCTGGTGTTTCGAGAATGCTTCATCAATTATGTTAATAGCTGAAGTAACATCATTGGCTTCATAGTAACTCCTGAAAAAAGTGAGCAGCAGAATGGATGAATACTTAACTAATTCTACTGATAAACTCATCTTCTTGCTTAGACTCTCTAACAACAAACTGTGACATTCATTTTCTTAAAATTTGGGAGGAAAACATACTTTCTTCTTTAAAATCAGTCAGGATTGATCCAGAGAAAAATATGCCATGTCAGCATTAACAATGTCACAACATCAAGCATCTTATTCTCCCAATACCACCACCCACCATTCCAGCTCATTCTGCTGTCATACAACCCAACAACTCTTCTACTTCCATGATCCACAGAGAATAGGTCCTGGATGCCCCCTCTTAAGTCCCCTGCACCCTTCCACCCTTGCTCTTCCTGCTCTGTGGGCCAGCGTTATTAATAGTCCCTTGCACATATCCTCAGCTCTCTCACCATCATATACTCCCAGTTCCTCCTACCTCACAGCCATTTCTTGCAAGTCCCACCGATGCCTCTTCCTCTTCTCCCTGACTTCCAAATGCCAAAGTACCCAGGGTTCAGGCCCCAGAACCCTCCCTTTCCCCTCCCTCTCTCTCCCTCTCTGCGCCCCCCCCTACAACTCCTATCCAACATAAGATCTTGGGAGTTCAGCCTTCAAAGCATACTCAGAATTGAATACCTCCCCCATCTCCTGCTGTGTCCACCCTGTCCAGTCACCACTATTTGTGTATCCTGCAGGGACCTCCTAAGCAGGCCCCCTACGTCTGCTCCTCCCTCTGTTCAACCTATTCTCAAGAGTAGCCAGAATTGACACACTTAAACTTTATGCCAGACCATGTCACTTTTCTACTCAGATCCTCCAGTAACTTCCAAACTCATTCAGGATAAAGGCAAAAGCCCTGACAACAGTCTGCAAAGGCCCCTGATGGATTCCCAACACCTCCCTGCTCTACGCCTCTTAACCCTTCAGCTTCCAGTGTTCCCTGAAGACACTCTGCACTTGATACTCCCTTTATGAGACTCTGCCCTGAACATTCATTCCTGCATCTCCCTCATTCAGCATGACAACAGCATGGTAATAGTCCTTCCCTCATCACTCTTTCCTGAAATCACAGGCCCCATGCCCAAGACTCCTCCCCTTCTTCCCACCACTTGCCAATACCTGACACCCCTGATCTAACAGGCTTGTTTACTCTCTCCCCCATTGGACAAGAGTACCACAAATGCAGGGGACTTTAAAACATGCTCAGGCCTGGAAACTGGTTCCGTGTACATACCTAGTGCATGAGATGTACCTGATAAACCTTTCTGGAGGGAAAGCAGGGTGCACAGGGAAAGCCCGATCCACAGAAGTCACAGAGACAGAATTCCATGCAGGACAGACCTCCATAGCAAAGGCAGAACTGACTACCACCATGCTGCCCCAATAGAAATACTGCAGATAATCAAGTAGAAAACCAGTTTACTCTCATAGGCCACTTGCAGTTCATAAAGCAGAAGCCTACTGGACTAACCACTGCAACAGCTGAAGATCTGACAGCCAGTAACCGCCAAGACCCTCAGTGTACAGTACTACTAGGAATCAACTTAGAGTTGCCCTGCCTCAATAGATTTCCCAAAAATGCTTGACAGTAGTCCTACATACCCTTGGAAGGGCAGGGATTGATCTCACAGCTAAGCATCATCATTATAAAGGCCATGGAGTTAGTCAGGTTAACCCTAACATGCCCAGAGTAAGATGGTTATCCCAGGCTCAAACACTACATGACAGACATCCCTAGGCAGAAAGCATAGGCAGCAAAATGCCTCCTGCTTTGTTTTGTTACACAGAATATCAGAGAAGTAAATGCAGGAGGGCATGTTTTAGATTAAGTTACATATAGTCAGTAATGTGTGCCAGCTATAAGAAGAAATTCTTAATCTTAAAATCTTACTCTAGTACTGGCTCAAGAGAATGATTATAGAATATCCCATGTCACAAACATTTCACAGTCACATCTACAATAAAAATAAATTTTAAAATTATTGCAAATATACACAATTTCAGCTAAGTGATGGGAATCTGGGAACCTAGTCACCCTTTCAGAGCATGCCCCATGTTTAAGCTCCTAAGCAACAGAAACGTAATCTTCTATATAAGATTTTCTGAGTGATTATAGTTGACTTGGAAACAGAAAAGGTCAGAAAATTAGGCAAAACATTTCCTGAACTTCAATGAAAAGGATGTTCTATTTCAAATACATGCTCTAATTTGCAAATTAGATGACGAGGAGCCACATCTGGACATACTTCCCTCCAACTTACTTTGCCATATCACGAGCCAGTTGCATGAAACGCTCTCCATCAGATGGAGACAGGAGGTTTAAGATGCGTCTGTAACCATCCATGGCCATCTTATGATCACCCATCTGCTCATAAAGGCTCGACCGCTCCCACAGGTAACGGACATTAGTAGGCTCGTATTTAAGAGCTAAACAGACAAAAACACAAGTTACATATCTGCCACAAAAAGGGGTGCATGATGCCTGGGTGTGACCCCCCCATCTCCTCAGGACATGCAGTAAGCACTTTAGACCAGTCCTTCAATGGAACTAAAGGAGATATGCTGGAACAAACTTGTCATCACAGCAACCCTCGATGAGGTTTAATCTAAGACCAAACAGAAGCTGAATCTCCATACTGATCTTTATTTGGCCACTCTGGCCTGACATGAACCCTCAATACTGACCTCAGGGGAAACTGAAGGTGCTGTTCATCCAAAAACTTTGTGTTGCATTACCTCACAGTATTAATAAAGTCACTAACAAACAACATGAGAACTCAGTGACCCCAGATACTACCTTCTGGTATAAAAGCACAAGAAACAAATGCATTTCAGCCAATATCACAAGCCAGAATAGCAAGTACAATTGTCAAAAAATCTATTAGGTAACATCTTATCAAGTGAGAAAAAATATTTTAATTACCTTTTGTATAGCAAAAAATAGCCTGTTTAATATTGTCCTGTTCCAGAGACATTTCTGCCAGTCTAACCCATTCTTCGGTGTCACTGGGATTTAAATGTGCAGCAATCAACTCAAACTGCAATGACTTCTCCATGTCACCTTGGTCTTCATATATCATGGCAAGAGTAGAGAATGGCTCATAGGCCAGAGGAGCTACAACGGATTAAACAGATAAATTCCATTGGCTGAGGGAAGAGGCTTGAGTGGATGTCAACCCCATGGTTCAAACTGTGTGTCTTTTAATACCTAAACACCTCCAATCACTCTAGCAGAAATATACAAACTGCTTAATGCAAGTGAAAATAAACACAGGATTATATATGCTTTATTTTCATACATTTTTAAAATGTTAAAGTATAATGCCATGATCTTACTTTCCACTGCACTCCCTTCATGAAAATCCCCCTCACAGGCCGGGCTCGGGGGCTCAGCCTGTAATCCCACGCTTTGGGAGACCGAGGTGAGTGAATTGCCTGAGCCTGCAGGTTCGAGACCCGCCTGGGCAACCTGGCGAGACATCATCTCTACTATAAATCAAAAAAATTAGCCGGGCATGGTGGCGCGTGCCTGAAGTTCCAGCTGCTTGGAAGGCTGAGGCGGAAGGATCACCAGAGCCCAGAAAGTCGAGGCTGCGGTGGTCGGGAGCGTGCCACAGCACTCCAGTCTGGGTGACAGTGAGTCACTCTGACTCAAAAAAAAAAAAAACAAACAAAAGAAAATCCCCCTCACTAAGGCTAAACATGGCTAACAGCTCAGCAAAGTCATCCTGGTGAGCACCAGTCACATCAGTGGGTGAGTCTTCCTGGTCTGTTTCCCATCCCAGGGAGCGCAGTACGAATGGAGAGATGGTAGTAAGCAGCGCCTAGTCCCAGAATACTGGTAAATCTACATTTCTCAAATACTGCTTCTGAAACAAAATTCAAAGATTATGAGCTATTAAAGTCAAAATTTTTTGTCAAAAAAAATTATAAATGGAAATAAAGAAACAGATAATACTGGAAAGTAGAAACCTAATGAAATATACTGAAAAAAAAAGTTTGCTTAATCTTATTTCTAAAGGAGTTAAAAAGTAAAAGCAGTAGCCTCAAATTACCCAAATAAATAATCCAGGAAATTATAAGAAATGACCCTAGTCTAACTAAAGAGAAATGCCAAAATACTGAAACGATAAACTAAAAGTTCACTATATTACAACTACCCAACCCACTCTGCAGGGCATTATTTGACAACACAACAGGGAAGCAAAATAATAATGTAAGTAATTAGTAGCAAAAAAAAAAAAAAAAAATTCTGAGTATGTCCTTTAATACACCTAGGAAATATTGTTTAATTGGAAGATGACAAGTTTAAATTGTCTTTTACCAAAAATAGATTAAAATAATCCAGCACTGCATAATCTGAAAAATGGAAAAAAGAATGTTCAAGTGGTTTTAGCATAAGGTGTTTAACGTATTTTTTAAAAAGACTAACAAACTTCTAAAACCACAAAATGAAACATTAAAAACCAAATAAAAACAAAAAAAGAACCCTGTAAAAATTCAGTAAATATTAATGATATTTCATTGAATCATGTTCTGTGGTTTCCAATTTCTTGTGAAAAGCAGAGATAACTTATCACAAATAAGTATCCCCAATCCTCTGAAAATGTTTTCCTAATAGAATAGTGACGTCCTCCTCCAACTATTTTAAGTCAGACTACTAGACTGCTGTGATCAATCAAGTCCCCGCAGGAAACACCTTGTCTGATGATCTCCATGCACATCAGAATCGCCTCTTCACGCTCCCCTCGAGCAAAGCGGATGTTGGCTTCACCCATGAGACCTCTCAGAGCTCTGGGGAGTTTACTGCGAGGTCTTTTCTCCTGTTGCGAGAAAAAAGGTTTAGATTAAAATACAGTAAAGTTGGGGATTTCAATTCCAATCATATTAATAAATATAGAACATAATAAAACTAAAATTTTCCTTTAAAACTTTTCAATGTTCTAAACTCAGAACCAAAAGGCTGCAAGCCTAACAGATTATTTAACATCAAAGTCTAAAGTTCACTTGCAGGAAAGAATAGAATTATCCTATGATACTCTCCAAAGAGAAGCATCTCAGAAAGTCTAAAAACAAAAACTTCCTACAGTGTAAAGTTCAAAGTTCAGTAAAATATACAAAGAAATCAAAAACCAAAGTGGTCAGGAATCACTAAATTACTACTCAGAATAACAACAAAGGTGGAACAAAATGCTACAAAATGGACTTATACACCAGGAGACTTGTTATGATATAATTTACTAGAGATCCTCCTTCTTTCAAATTATCTACTCAGAACTAACTTGGTTAAAAAAACATAGGGTTATAGTATGGACCTTTTAGTAGCAAAACTACAGTTTATTTTAACATAGCAATAATTAAGTTTTTACTTAAAAATTATCTCAAAAGGAAACTTAAATGACAGTAGTTGTCTCTTAGTACTTCCTTTCTTATAGTTTTTTCCCAGGTATAATTTAAAGACAGATTTTTTCCATCAGTTTGACATTTTCTTACATTGCTTATAATAAATATCAAAATAAGTAAGAATTTACTTTCATCATTTTCTTGGTTTCTCGATTGAGAACCATCTCCAATACAAATACATCGCCAGCAGTGGGTTGCTCAGGTGTTTCTTCTTCCTCCTCCTCTTCTTCCTCTTCCTCCTCATCATCTTCATTCTCTCCCAGCATGGAAGCAAAGACCTTGTGAACAGACTTACTCACTCCATCTGACGTTTCTCCTGAAAAAAGAGACATTAAGGTTGCAAAGGGAAAAAAAAGTTATGAACTCTCAGTGTTTAAGAGGGAAAACAGTATTTTCTGGAGTATAATGTAATGGCAAACTTGAAAGTGAAAAATAGCAAATTAACACCCCCCAAAACAACCTGAACAAACCTGTCCCAAAAGCTATGTACTTTGCTCTGGAGGAATGGCTGACATTCTGTAGGCCTCACCCAGCTTTATAGGTAAAATTAACTGGAAAATCAGAAGCACATGCAATAATAATTAAACAGAGAGAAGAAACATAAACAAGACACAGACCCAAGAACTAAACAAGCATGGTGGGACAGAACCCCACTGGCATAGCACAGAAGCCAAATTAGAGGGCTCTAGAGTCAAACTGCCTGGCTTCAAACTTTATCTCCATCTGCCATTAGCTATGCAACCTTGAATAAATTACTGAGTGCTACTATTAGTAGTAAATAGCACTATTATTTCAGGAACAAAACAACATGACATAGTTCATTTGTATCTTAGGATGGCCCTACAATACAATGACTTTTGTATGTTCATAATGATGACCTCGAATGATCAAGAGAAGGTTAAGTTCGGAAGCCAATGTTCTGTTAAACAAGGCAAACATTGCTATGGCTTGAATATTTGTCCCCTCCAAAATGCATATTTATTTATTTATTTATTTTTCAAGAAGTCATAAGCAGCATTTATTACCTTGGTATATCACACTGGTCTTGTTGCTGTTCCTTCACATTTAAATGGCTTTCCACCTTTCCCCCCTCCTCCCACAGTCTGGCTACACAGTCCATCCTGGCACTGTCAGCCCACAGCAGCAACAGGTTTCTTCCATCCACATCCTTAATACTATGCATTCACAGGGCCAAAGTGCTGGTTCACAAACCCTTCCCTTTGGGAAGTCAATGCTTGTGAAAGAATTTGCAGTAAACCAGTCCTCCCAAGATGGCTAGCTCCAGCAAGATGATGATGGAAAGTAGCAGCTTGTTGGCTGTCACTTTTCTGGACATTGAACGGAGAATCTTTCGACTTTTGCTCAAGTTTTCATTTGTATTTACCAGTCTACTCTTGGTACGTTCCAACTGGTCTCGCTGTTCTCGCAGCTCTTCTATGACTTCTGAGCCAATCTGGTCAGTCTCTGTGGCAATCCGATGAGAGCGCTCAATACTTTGGGTGGCTCGGTTCAGGCTTTCCGTGCCTTGCAGAAGCAGCGCCCTTTGAGACTGCAGCTGATTCATATGCTCATTCTCTACAGCATACGAGCCATATTTCATGTCTCCTTGGCCCCCAGGTGTGGCTGTCAAAGGTGTGCTTCTCACCTCCTGATGGAGTTTGGCATGGTCCTTCTGGTAGTTTCTAAGTTTAGACATCATGGGGTTACGGAAAGAGAGGGGTGCATAACGCAGTTCCTCTTCCATCTGCCAGCATTTCATTTGCTTCCTGTTGCTTTTCATCAAAATCTCGGATCAACTTCTTCTCTTCGGTCCCTGCCATCTCCAGCAGCCGCTCGGGCATCCCTTGCAAGTCTTCATGGAGGCCGCAGAAGATCTCATGCAGCTTCTCAAAGTGCTCCGAGGAGGTGGCGGAGGTGGCCATGGTGCGGGCCGTGCTACAGCAGCGGCCGCCGCGGTCCGGCGCAGCCGCTGCTGTCGCTGCTGCTGTCACTGCTGCAGCCACCGCCGCAGCCACCCAGGAAGAGGCCCAAAATGCATATTTAAACTTAATCCCCAAGGTGACAGTATTGAGAGGTGGGGCTCTGACCTCATGCATGAATTAATCCATTTATGGGTAATGGATTAATCACAGGAGTGGGGCAGTTGGCTTTACAAGAAGAGGAAGAGTGACCTGAGTTAGCACACTCAGACCTCTCATCACGAGATGCCCTGTGCCACCTCAGGACTCTGCAGTCTCCACCAGCCAGAAGGCCCTCACCAGATGTGGTCCCTCAACCTTAGCCTCCATAACTGTCAGAAATAAATTCCTTTTCCTTATAAATTACCCAGTTTCAGGTATTCTGCTATAAGCAACAGAAAACAGACTTTAGAAAAGTAAACTTTAGAAAAGTTCCTCAAAAAAGTTAAAATTAAAAATATATGTAATATATAAATATAAATACATATATTTGTGTTCAGAAAACCTCAAGCTTATTCACTTATGCAAAATACTTCAAACCCCAAAGCTGATGGATAAACATGTGCCTGCTGCTACAGTCGAACTTAGAAAAAAAAGATGACAGAAGAGCAGCTCCTCCCCTGAGCAGATAAAGACCCACAGGTGTCAGAACAACTCCAGCTCCCTTTCCCACCCCACTCACCAGCCAAAGTAAGAAACTTTCTTCCTGTTCTTCCCCTCTTGGTCCAAGGAGGTAGGAATAAAGCTTTTTTTTTGCCCATCCTATGAATGTGTGTTCTCTGTGTAAAGGCTTATTTGTTTAATGGGAAAAAGCTAGCCCCTATTTATAATCCCCAGAACTAGATAGCTTAGTTTGGGTCTCAGTCAGATCCTGTTCACAAAGCTACATTTTACTTGGCATTTTGGCATCTCAGGTAAATTGACATGGGTAGTAAAGGATAATCTGAGCTATTATCAGCATTCTGATCACCAGAAAGGGGTATCAATCACAGAAAAATTAATAAATTTGCATGCTAGTCCATCATTACACTATGATGAGTTTAATTAGTCTGGGTGCACTAATCAAGTTTAATAGCATACATGCAAAACTGAGGACTGAATCCTAGATACCTATGCTATGTGTGAGGGCCCATCTGGGGAGTCAACTGACCTTCACACCAGCATTTCTGTCTTACCTCCCTATCACCAAAGCAGTGGTTTGGAAGCCACGATTAATGGAAAGGTTGGAAGTATCATCTGGAACTAATTAGTCACCAGGTAAGAGGGCCAATTTAAAAAACAATGACTCTAAAAAGGTTCCCAAACAAATACTGATGTCAATTTGAAACACTTTTCCATTATTTGCTGAGTTATTAAATATCATTATTGTTATTTAATTGAACACCTACTATATACCAGGATTACAATACTGATAAACCAGGAGCATTAATGAATATCAGTGCAATGAAAAAAATGTTTTCACTAAGTTACTTTTCTTACATACTCTTAACATCCAATGCAAGCAGCAAATAATCCCAACATACCTTCATTGGCATCTTTGTCTTGGGATTTGGTAGAGTCAATTCCTGATGATGATGGAACTTCAGAGTCATCTAGATTTTCTTCAGCTGATAACTTTCCTTTTTCCTGAAGACTCTGTGATTGAAAATTAATTAATGAGTCCATAGAGTAACGCAGATTTAGCTCTCCCCAGTCAGAGTCTATGTCTCTAGTCCTAGCTTTGCCACTCAGTCATTCTGTGATGGTGGGTGGGCAAATAATACAATAGGATGTTTACCTCATTTTCTATTTATAGAAAACTTCTGCACACATACATATTTTGTGGAATCTAAATTTGAATATTGCCAAAACATTTTACAGTACTTAGATCTTAACCTTCCATCTCAATTGGTCGTTTGTAAAAAAAAAAAAAAAAAAAAAAAAAAAAATATATATATATATATATATATATATATATATCTTAATGATTTCACTAATCTGCATGTTGTATCCTAACACTTTAAATAAAAAGATGGGGCCCTACAAAGTCGAATGCATTAGGAAAGAATCTGCCAGCTAACTCCAAAAGGTTGAATTATTTTTACTTTCCCTTGGACTTCAAGTAAGTGAGAATATGTGGAAAATGCAGATATTTCTTCCTCAGTATGAAAATATAGGTACGCATGAAGAGTGTCATGTTATCAATTAGATTTACTTTTGTTATGGAATATTAAATGACACCACTGGAGACTCCTCAAAAAACAGGAGCTCAATCCCCGCAGGGTTGAAATAAACTGGGGTCCAAAGAAGAGGTGAGTTGCCCACACAGGTCACAAAACACGCAGCGCAACGCTAAGACCTGACCCCGACACTGGGGTCCCAAACGCCTCTCCCTACTTCCACTTTACCAGCGTCCAGCCACTCCCGATGCAAACTTAGAATTAGGAAAAAGGAGACGAGTTAGGGACCGCTTAACGACAGAAGTTCCTCGGGGGAACCATGCTAAGCCGCCCGGCGCGGGTGGGGCGAGCCTGGGGTCTCCGCCAAGTAAAAGGGGCCGCCTGGGCCCAACATCCCAGCTCGCGAGGGCGACGGAAGGGGCACTGGTCCCAGAGAGCCTCACTTTCTTCTCGCGGGTTTTCCTCTCCTCTCTCCGTCTCTCGAACTCCTCAAAGGAGATCTTCCCCTCCAGATAGTCGATGAGCTCCGGGCTGAACCCTGACATGTCTGAAGGACCCACACAGCCCCAGGAATCGGGACCGGGAGACGGAAAAGCCACGAGCCGGAAGGGCCACGAGCCCGAGCAGCCGAGAGATGGGACCGGCGTCCTACCGGAAAAGCCGCCGGGCTCGCGCCGCTCCAGACGCATCGCTTGAGTTCCGGTTGGCCAGGCGGGCACTTCCGGCGTAAACGGGGTACTTGACTCGTCCCGTCCCCTCCTGCTTGAGAAGATTTGGCGTTGAAAAATCTAGGCTTTAAGGAGAATTTCTTTAGATAATTCCCCACAACTCCTCTCAAAGATGTTTTTCACCCTCCCAATCCATGTTCTTCTCTGAAGATCCTTTACATTTGCTTGTCTTTGCTGTGGCGATTGTTTTCCTTAATTTCTCCCTTTGCTCTCCTATGTGTGTCTCTCCCCATCCTGCCCCGGTGAGCAAACTGAGTCCCATTTTATGCTCTGAATCCTGCCCGAGTCCACCTTCAGCCCCTTTCGTAGGAGTCCACGCTCCCCTCCCCAGTCCTGCTTGCTTGGGCCTGTTGCACCTCCTGGGCCGTCTCTTATGCCCATGTGTTCTGTTGATGAAAAGATGCTAAACTCTGAAATACTTTATGGTGGTTTATTCTGAAACAAACTTGGGGTCTTACGTTTGGCAACACTCATCTTCAGGAGGTCCTGAGAATGTGTGCCCACTGTGGTTGAATGGTGGCTTGGTTATATATATATCTTAGAAGGCAGAAGTTACAGGAAACCGTAAATCAATATAGGTGATATTTTCATTGGTTTGACCGTATCGAATTCAAAGATTTCTTAGCTGGTAATTTGTCGTTCCTATTTAAGGAATTTTGGAAATCAGTAGTGGAGGTGTTTTGCTGAGATAAAGTGGTGGAAAACTTCAGGTTTGCCGATATATTGATGAAGTCCTATATGTGGCAGACTTCAGAGACGATAAGTGTTTCACAAGATTCCTGGAGTCTGGGAGTCCACAATAGATGGCTTTACAGGCCAAAAAATACTTTTATTTCCTTCTTTATTTGTTATGTGATGTTATGCAAGAATCAGGATAAAAACAAACCTTAGTATATAGGGTAATAAAAACCCTGTCTGGTGAGTACTTATCGGGCAGTGACTCCCCAAGCCTCTTAGGAATTTGGATAAGAGAGAGAAAAAAAAAAGGCAGGTTTGATCCTCTGTCCATCTGTCTGTGCTTTCTTCCTTTCCTTTTTTTCTTTCTTTTTTTTGAATCATGGTCTCATTCTCTCCCCCAGGTTGGAGTGCAGTGGCAGGATCATAGCTCACTACAGCCTCCATCTCCAGGATTCAAGTGATCCTTCCACCTCAACCTCCTGAGTAGCTGGGACTATGCCCAACACCACACTTGGCTAATTTTTTTTGGTAGATTCTTCTCTCGTCTCACTATGTTGTCCAGGCTGGTCTTAAACTCCTGGGCTCAAGCAGTCTTTCTGCCTCAGTCTCCCAAAATATTGGTATTACATGTGTGAGCTGCCGTGCCCAGCCTACATATTTTCTAACAGATTTTGAGAAAGAACCGAACACTTGATGTGGTCACTATACACTGCTGTCTGTCCACTGATGAATACAAATTACATACATTTCTCAAAATAAACCTTGGAAGTGGATGTTCTTTTTCCTAATTCCAAAGTCTCCTGCTTAATAAGTAGTAGAGTCGAGATTTCAACTCTAGTCCCTGACTCCAAATCCCATGTTTGTAATGATGATGATTGCTGTTCCCCCAGCTGTGCCATTTTTCAACTCCTGCACACTCCTGTGGTTTGTATTTCACGTTGTGTTATAACTATTTCTCTGCTTGTCCAATCCTAGAGATGTTAGCTATGAACATCCCAAGAACAGCTAGCTGATGCATGCTTGTAATCTTACTCTGTAGCCTAGAAATGTGTGCTGAGAACATCTTTGTGAATTGAACTGGATGGAATGGAAAGTGCCTTTGGAACTTGGGCAAGGGAATCAACAGTTGGGGAATGTAGCTCCCTCTGCAGCCAAGGTCAGGGACAAGTGACAGGGAACTATCACCGGGCTGTCTTTGTGACAGTCCAGGTGAGGGTGACGACCCAGTAGCCTTTATAACAGTCCAGGTGAGGGTGAGCAGCCATAGGATAGCAGAATGGGGACCTGGACCTGAGACCATGGGACTGCCAGGTGAGAGAAAATGATCTCACATCTAGAAGTCAGCCCCCTACCTCTAGGCGAGAAAAGACCCACAGGTCTAGCTGGGTATAAACTATGGAAGGTGAGCTGGCTGGGGTGTGTTAAGGTAATTACCACAGAAATTACCAACAGGGAAGTTCTCCTCTAATCGTTTCTAGCAATAAGGAACTGCATCCAAGAGGAAGTCAAGAATCTCCAGCCCTCACTCTCCCAAGAAAGAAGAAGGGATTGAAAGTGAGGAGGGACAGTTGCCTGGCAAGGAGGACACTCTCCTAGGACCCAGATGGCATAGTCCAGCTTGTTTTGTTGTTGGTCATCTGGAATGTGGGAAGAACAGTTGTGGAGATACAGATTTATCTAGGGAGAGTGAATTAGGGGTGGGAGGATAGTTTTTCTGGAGCATCTTGATGATATGAAGCTCTTTTAGAGGTCGGAATGTAGCAAAATATCTTGAAATGTCAATCTTTTTGTTTTTCCTTTCACCACTTCCTTGTAAGAGGCTCCCCCCCAACCCCCAGTCAAAGGCATCCACATGACCTTGAAAAGAAGTAGAGTTGTTATGCCAGTAATGAAAACACTTTCAGACTGATTTTAGATAAAATGGAAAGTCTGAAGGAAGCAGAACATCAAATTTATCCCATGATCATCAAATTAGGAGAGCACAGAGAGATGATGACATTCCTTCTCCTTGCCAGGGGAAGGAACCAGGGTGGGCTGCAACTCTTTAGGGCAGACTATTTTCCTGTGGGTCATTCACATTTTTGAAGAATCTTGTGATAACTTTCTTCTGGGCTATCTTTTCAAAGGTGTGTGCAGAACAAACAACCTTGAGAGACAGAGATATTGTCTCTTTCTGGGGCAGGGTGAAAGTTTGTTTTCTGACCAGTATAATAAAAATCACATTTCCCTCTGGGACAAAGGTTGGGCATGTTTGCTAGCAGTCCCATTGTGAGAGTAGGGTTCCTCCACTTTGGCACAGGTCCCTTTGTGCCCTGAATACCGCTGGACCCACATTCATGTGGACCTCCTCATTACATGGGGGAAGAGGAGAACTGGTGTAAATGTAAAAAGCATGCCACTGCATGTCATGAGTAGCACACGTGGTTGTCTCAGACACAGGAATCTCCCGTGTCTGCCAGGATTGAAAAAAACATAGAAGGCTAGTGTGTAGCTTACAAGTAGGATGAAACCTCATGCTCTTAATGGTTCTTGGCCACCCTCAATCTGGAACAGGGGACAATAGGCCAAGTGCCAGGGAATGGGAACTCACTGAAGGCATGCAGAGTCAGTGTTCATGGGCTATCAGAACCCATAGAGAGAAGTATCAGGGCCTCTGGAGAGCCTGGAGCACTCGTAGAACATTTACTTCCATCAGAGGAAACTGCACTTATGCTATTTCCTAGCAAAAGTTCTCAGTCAAGTGCAAAGTTACTTTCTCAGTGGGCTTTTAGGAATGCGTTCAGGGAGGTTGTAATTGTCAGAATGATAGGGGAGAGGTGAGGGACCTGCTAATGTAGAGTGTCTGGGGACTGGGTGTGCTACATGGTCACAAACAAGGAAGACGTGGCCTCCCCCAAGTGCCAACAGCACCAACATTAAGAAATGCTCATCAGTGTGGGGCTTGGGTGTCCATCAACAGCTACTGCCACTGGGGGGAATCTTCTAGCTGAAGGGTGCATGCCCCAGCCCTGAGACTGTCAGGCTTACGGCTAAATGTCCCATGTGGATGCTCCTCCTTTTCAAGGCCCTGAAACTGATAATAGCCCCTTTATGGAGGTCTTGATAGCCAGAGTAGGGGCGGTGGTGAGAAAAGAAAAACCAGTCACTAGTCCTTGTATAGAACACAACAGTGGTGAAACACTCCCTACCACTCTGCCATTTATATGAATCAGCTAGGTTTTTATGAGAACTAACTCATCTATAATCACTTATATTTTTAAATGGCAAAAAAAAAAGAACCTTGACATTAACCAAAAGCATCTTCTATGACTGCCTGAAGAATGGCTGAAGAGCACATGTTCACTTCACTTCAACACATGTCTACTGAACCCCTGCTGCATGCTAGCCATTGTGCTAGGTGTGCTGGGGAACAAAAATAAGTCACGTAGGGTCCCTGTTCACAAAGACCTCACAGCCCTTCAGGGAAAACAGACACATCTACAACTGACAGTAGGACATCTAAAACCAGACATAAAGTCTGTTCTTGCCCAAATATTTTATTCTTGATAGTATTAATTATCCATGAGAAAAGTCACTGAAAACTATTTTGAAATGTACAGACTAGTTTTCTTAGGACACTGACGCTGAGTTCTAGTACAATGCTCCTGATGCAGGAATCACAGAGACAACGATGCAGCTATCTATAAAGATACAGGAAATGTTGAAATGTCGCTGTTCCAATGAGAATATGGACATCAGAGTAACTTGGCATGAGCTGGAGGGTGGGGTGGAAAGAAGGGAGAACCCCTGTTTCTTCTTCCCTTCCTGCGGAGGCTGTGTGGAGGCTCCAGGTGTGGTGGTGGTGAGGCTGTTTGGAGTAACAAAACATCCTTTTAAGAATGTTTTGGCAAAGAGCAATGCCACTCCCCCCCGCCGCGCTCCGCCCCCCTCCCTCCACCAAACCTTGGCAGCTCCTGGATTCTCATGTCCCTTGCTTTCCCTTTTGACTTAATTGTGACAACTGGAGCGGTAAGGTCTTATAGCAGCATATACTAAAAGCGGGAATGCATCTTCTTTTTATGAAAAAAGACATTTAAAACCCAAACCCCAATTATATAGAATGAATTTTACTCTAGTAAAAATGAGCATGTCCCTTTCAAATACAAATATTGATTGATAAAAGGTAATAAACATAAAAGACAAGTTTTTAAAACAGGCTCAATGAAACATCTAACTTGGAAGATTATCATCTCTTTTCAGCTTGTGGTGTTTTTGTAACTCCTACAAATATGTGCAGTGTTCTACACCAATATTTACAGTTATACAGGGAAAAAACACTCCAAAAATATGCACATAAATCACATGGGGCCAGCTATCTAAATGTAAATCTGTAACTGTAGAATAAAATCATTACAAACTGAAAATAAAAATGGAGGGGAAAGAAACCCCACAAAAGTTTAGCTATGACTGTGGCTGAATTTTTCTGATGAGCAGCTTCATCTGTAGTTTTACGATAGCAGACACTTGAAAGAGCAAGGACACGTTATGAAGCAGAAAATGAAGACTGCCCGATCAACCCGAAGACCCCCCCGAATTGACATATTTCCATGAAAACTCTTGTTGTCTTCATTTTCTCATCAGAGGTTTTAGGAATGTAGAGCTTATCATTATGAAATGAACTCCACGTCAGAGCTGTGCTTCTTTCACAGAGCTGAGTAATTCTGATGATATTACAGTCCCATCAACTAGGGGCCTCATTGGTTTCCTGCCCTTGAACATGACCACATTCATGTTCACATGAAAGCATTGATCTGGTATTTTCTATGATAATTTCTTTGTAGTCAGGACAAGTATCTGTAATTTACAGATGAAGAAACAGGTTCTCAGCAGCGTGTCTGCCACTGAAGCAGGTGCTCTGGTGTCAGTCACTGGTCTCTGTTTTAGTGTCTGATACCCTAAGGCCAACGTGTGGAGAACAATCAAGGGAAAACATGATCAACATCTTCCTGCTTATTCTCTTTTATTTTCTAATTTTAGGACAGTATCCAAGTGCATAGTCCACATGGCAAATTACATCTTTTTAGAATAGCAATCATTATTTTTTAAATCATCACATTAAAAAGAATAGTGAAAACACTTTCACAAACACAGTGAAGTCCAGCAGTTGCATGTGTCCTCACAATTTCATTCCCACACTGTGAAAGAAAGGTGAAAGGCTTTCATTAGGTTCCATTCCTTTTATGATTCAGTTGAACAAAGAGCTAATGGCCTCAATTGTGTGTATTTACTTGGAAGCAGCACACCTGTTCCTTTTTAAATGGTGGGTATTTATTTGATAGGAATGCTAACATAATAAGATTAATAAAATTCAAGTCTTAAACGTAAAATATTATCCTTACAAATATTCTACCTTTTTTTCTCTAGGGTGAGGAAGTTCAAGCTCAAGTATATGCATACTTTCCTCCAAAAAGAACCACTCTAACTTTGATTTCCCATTTAATCCAACTGCTTAACATATTTCTTTTATATGATTTACCATATAACAGATATATGATCTGGTCTAAAAAAGACATTGGTAAAAGATATTGTAGCTATGTTATTAATTTAATAATCCCATTAAGTGTGACAATTACTATTATTTTAATATATTTTTCTCCCCAGAAAACTATGCTTTAAAAATCATAACTGTCATTTCTTTTTTAAAAAAAGACTGTAAAATACCTGAACCAAGACTAAATATTTAACAGTGATGAGTATAAGCAGGACTGAACACTTATTTCTAGGAGGATATAAAATCATTTTTCAAATGAGTACTTTGGAAATCTCTACCTCGTGACTGAGCTGTGTGTGTGGACACATCACGGGAGAAAAGAGAGAACTTTCACCTGAGCTCAGGATAAACTTTCAGCCTTTGAGGTAAGTGGGAGTGGAGTTTTTCTGCTCTTTGTAATCTGCAAATGTGGAAGCAATAAGTTCTGACTGGAAAGAGAGAAGGCTGGGACCCTTATTCATGGAGAAAGTATTTGGAAACCTTCCAAGATCAAGACCTCTGGCCTTAAAATACACCGAAGGCTCCTGTAAAACTAAAGAGAGAAAGAAAATGTTCAATGCCATAAACACATGAGACACCAAAGATCTTCACAGGTGAATTTTTCCCCTCCATTTCCTCTCTGAATAGACTAAGGTTGATCCACGAGGCTGAACATACAGAAAAAATTAGTACAAGCTCTGGTTACTTTCCCCACCCTCCCCACAGCCTTCCTTCTGACATTCTGGCCCTAAACAAGATAAGGATGCTGTGGGCATTCCTGGTGAAAACTCAGGGAGGAGTATCCATTATTGAACAGCACCACGTCAGAAGTCACACCCTGAGCCTCCTCTGAAAACTGAGGGCAGAGAGGAAACTGACTTCCATCATGAACATCTCTGTCTCCTCTGACAGTGAGAGCCCTGGTCGCCACCCTCTGCAATCATGTCTTCTCAGATGTGGGTTTTTCAGATTTCCAGTAGGAAGTGAGCACAGGAGCTATTTGAGCACAAGTGCTATTTGTTTGGTTGTTTTAGTCCTATATTGTTATATTTCACATCATTATCTTTAGAGAAACTGTGTTTTGCAATAGTCATATCAACATGTTTATTGCATTTGGCATGGTTTTTAAAAGAGGATTTCTATCGATCTTTTGAATTCCATTTCCCAGATAACTGTGTGTTGAAGTTATGTCTGGTGAGTTGACAAACATGCAGGGTCAACTTTCCATGTGTGCAGCTGAGCTTGGCAAGTGCTGCTTCTGTGATAATCTGTTCCATCACCAGTTCAGTCTACGCTGTGAGAAAAGCATCCCCTGTCACGCTCTTGACTTTGAATGTGTGTTAGAAGTCAAGGTGACAGACCCAGCATGTGAATAAGAGCACCTGCAGATGGAATGGGCTGTGTGCATATAAGATTTTTTCTAAATGTCAAGGTGTTTCTCCTTGCAGAAGCAAATGCAAATGGGTCAGAGAAACGACAGGACCCACCACAAGGCTGGCAAGACCCTGGTCCTGTCATTTGGGGGAATCTCCTCCACGCTTGCAGCCCCCTCTCCCTGTGCTCTGGAGCACAGTGCCATGTGCAAAACTCCAGAGAGGCACCGGCCTCTCTGCAGCCTGGCACACCTGCATGTTTACCAGGTCTCGGTTCCTGAGGTTGCTGAGTGACTGCCATGTGTCTTCATTTCTCAGCATGGCCCCACACACAGGCCTGAGTAGCCCCAGGGTGGTGCACAACAGCAAGTGGGATGCTGTGGGCATGGCAGAGTGGGATAGGGGAGGTCAGGGAATGGCTGGTGGTCACAGATGGTCAGGGAGGAGAGAGAGAATGAGGACACCTCTGTATAGGCAGACAAGGAAGGACAAACAGCACATTGGTTTGTTGATGTTTTGCAGCCATGTTTTTCCAGATTCACTTGTTTTTTGTTGTTGTTGTTGTTTGTTTTTTGTTTTGTTTTTTGAGTTGGAGTCTCACTCTGCTGCCCAGACTGCAGTGCCGTGGCTGCTCCCAGCCACCGCAGCCTCGACCTGCTGGGCTCCAGCGATCCTTCCACCTCAGCCTTCCAAGTAGCTGGAACTACAGACATGCGCTACCACGCCCGGCTGATTTTTTGATTTATTGTAGAGATGAGGTCTCACCAAGTTGCCCAGGCAGGTCTTGAACCCGCGGGCTCAGGCAATCCACTCACCTCAGCCTCCCAAAGGAGCGGGATTACAGGCTGAGCCACCGAGCTGTTGGGAGCCAGCCATGGAGGCCCACTGAGCATTAGGGATCAGGAAGGGCCGTTGACCCCGAGACCACTAGGATGCATTCGGGAGGTATTGACCCCATTTCCTCCCCCTTTCTACTCAGCACTAACCAGATTAAACTCTTGTGAGCTCAAAACATAAAAACTCTGAGACCAGGATGAACACAAGCTAACTTTTGAAGCTCATTGCTCCCATTCTTCCACAAACTGCGATTTTGGCTTTCACACAACTTATAATTCAAACTCGTGTCACATCGAAGAGCCTTAGTATTGGTCACAGGCTTCTGGGTCATGATCTTAGGATTTATTGAAGGTGTAAATTGTAGAATACAGTTTTAGAAGACAGCCATTTTGTTGAAAGAATGCGGCTGGGTTACTTGCAGGTAGTCCACTGTGAACTTTGGACTGGGCCACATTCCAAACATTCTGGGATGGGCCACTTTCGTTTGTAAAGTAAATACTTAAGCTTCTATAGAATTGTTTAACTTGGCATAAATCAATCAGCTTAGGATGAAAAAGGTTTATAGACTATGTCAGTTGAAGGGGTCCAGCCCCTTTGCCAGGTCGTGAGATCTCCTGAAGGAGAGACGGATAGGCGAAAGATGAAAACAATATACCCGGACACCTGCTTCCTGAGCATATGACATCCTTTATTAGTTAACAGAAAGCTTTTATAGCATTTGTAAAAGGGGCAAGACAAAGAAAATTCCTTCATGTACATATGTTTTAAAAGTTACCACCATCTAGCGGTCTTTAGAAGAAACGAATAAGCCAAAAACACTATCTACTTTCAGTTAATGAGTCTTGAGATAAGTGTAAAAGGAGTTTCACTTAAACTAAACATAATGCACACAAGGTTTACTTTGACTTCGGTTCCACATCACTTGTCTAATTAAAAAAGCCTAAAAATCACTAGTACAAAACTATAGATTGTACCTAGTGATAGTAGGAATATGAAGCCCATTAACTTGACCAAACAACAGTGGCTAGCATTTAAAGAATAACTATGAAAGTCACTTACTGTGAAAATACATACACTAATCTTTACTCTGAATAAACATATAAAGTTAACTAAACATAATGAAATAAAACTAACACAACTAAAATTATTATGGTTGCATAATTGCCAATGAGCTTTTAAGTTTAGGATAATGGTGATTTGGCTGTTTTCCCTTATGCTTGGCAACCTCCTGGAAAACATCTTTGTCTTAAGATAGCAGTGGAGCAATTATTATTATCTTG